AGGTCAAATAACATCTATTTTGCCAATTTTAAAAAATGGTTCAGCAAATCATGGTAAGTGAGGTAAGCCAAGCCCAGAGAGACAAACGGCACAAGTTATTCTCTCCTTTATGGAAGCTAGATCTAAAAATTAACGGGGACATGATCAGGTATACTTTTCTCTAGGCATTCACACACAGGGAGATCAAAGATACTCTTAGGCAAAGAACACAAAGGCACAATGCCCATGTGCATCTGAACATACAAAATGATGCGCGCGGAAATAAACTCCTAGAAATGGAAACAAGCGATTTTTATTTGTTGTTGATTTTCTTTTCTTTTTGTCTGTTCATTTATCTGTTTGGGAAAGGGTAAAGGGGGGAGGCACAGAAAAGTTGGAACAAAGAGTAAACAAATGCAGCAGCGGCGTTTGATCCACATTATGTTGAAAATCAATTACATAACTTGTGGGTGGGGTCAGGAGGGAAAAACTGGGAGGTAACACTGTCCAATGTATGTAACTAACCACTCTGTACATCCCATTTATCGTAACAATAAATGAATAAAATAGCTGAAAAATGTTCAGGAAAAAAAAGCACTTTCCTCTCATCCTGAAGCCAGGATAATTCTAAAAGTCAATATAAAATGTTACAAACTTACATCCCATTCCAGCCAAGAAACAAATAGAAAACTGAATCCTGCGATGGATAGAACGAATCATCATCTATTTGAGTTGGCCCCAATGCTAAGAATGTGAGGTGGATTTAATGTTCATAAGCCAGTCCATACAAGACTCTGTATTGTTATCTGCTTTGGGCCCCTGGGTCTGGAAGCCAGAAGGCTTGTGGATTTCTGCAGAGAATGAAGTGAAGGACAAAGAGGAATACAAAGACATTAGCAGGAGGAGACTGACTAATGCCACACAAAGGAAAAGCTAACGGTGAACCTTTCAGACAGGAAGTCCACATATTCAGGAAGAAGCATCTGTGCTAAGGGTCCCAAGATCTCAAACATTGCTTCTAGCGGGGGAGGGGGAGGGGTCTGGACATGGAGGTGCTCATTCCTGGAAAACTAGATTATGTGTCTTTGAATCCTGGAGACTGGTTCATGTCTCATTAACTACATCTGGCAGGGGAGTTTTGAGCCTTGAATAGTCAGACTAGTACTGTCATTTTCTGCAGATTCTAGGGCTTGCAAGTCAAAATCCATTAACATCAGCAGGCCAAGAGTTGATGTTTATCACCCTCCAAGCCATGGATCTTAACCACTGAGTTTCCTAACCTCCTCCCCCAACTCTGATATCAGTTTTAATTGGCCAGGCATGGTGGCACACATCTGGGATCCCAGCATTTAGGAGGGGAGTTAGGAGTATCATAAACCAGCCTGGTTTATATAGCAAGACCTTGTCTCAAAATAGAAAGGAGGAGGAGGAGGGGGAGGGGGAGGGGAAGGTTGGGGAGAAGAAGAGGGAGAGGAGGGAGGAGGGAAAAGGGAGGAGGATACAGAGGCGAGAGGAAGAGAAGGGGAAAAAGAAGAGAAAAACTATATGATTATCTTAATAGCTGCACAACAATCACTTAAAACTCAGAATGCATAAAAACAACTTCTAAAACTCAGTGGGGCTGTCTGCAACACTGTTAAGGCACCTATGAAAAAGCCACAGCTATCAGCAGACTTAATGACAGCATTGTTACCACTTTCCTCCCAATATTAGGAACAAATCGATGATGCTCAGTCACCTCACTTACTTTCAACATGTGACTGCAGTATGTCACCACGAAGATAAATCAAGAAGGAAGACGTTAAAAAGTGTAGCCATAGGGAAGGAGGTAAAACCCTCTCGTCCTATGATGGCATGGTTTATAAAGAAATCATAGCAAACAGCAGAACAAATGCCACCACTAATAAGTCAATTTAACAAGGCCTCGAGACGCAAGGCTACAGTGAAGAATCTTATATCCTAGCAGCAAAAAAATATGCAATGCAAATCTATGTGTTTTATGCATAAAAATAAAATCTGTAGGAATAAAAGTGATAGTGAAGCTATGTGCGTGGCATCGAAGTATATATAAATGGAAAGATATTCAAGATCACCCAATGGCCAGAGAATTACTAATTAAAAACACACACACAATGAGACAACCATGCAAACCTATTTGAATGTTAAAAAAAAAATCCGGCAGTATCAAAATCAGCGGAGCATATGGAGCAGTAGATGTCTCATTCACTCGCTGTCGGTGAGGATGAAAACTAGTGCGTCCATGGAGAATGACAGTTTAGTGATTTCCCGTGCACTTGCCTTACATCAAGCCACCCCTCTCCAAAGCATTGGCTCACAGAAAGGAAAACTCTGCTCACAGTAAAACATGTATTTGAGTGTCATAGGAGCTTGGCTCATAATCATCTCAATCAAAACATAGGAATTCCAGAGCAAGCATTTCCTTGGGGCTTGTGCTTTATTTTGCATCTTATTGTATTTGTAGTTTTCATGGGCAGTGAGTGTTCTTAGGGTCTGGCAAGTTTGTACCACTCTGTAGAAAAACGATAGTCAGGAATATTCTTCCGTTAGGAGGCAGTGGAACCCTAATGTTAAGGCAATTCAGGAAAATGAACTAGGAAGAGTTTAGAAATAAGTTTCAGTGTTTAAGTCATTAAGTTTTAACTCTGTGAGCCTTAACCGAATGCACTTTAGTACTTGATAAACATTTCCTTAAAGAGCTCCTATTTTACTTCAACATAAGCTATCTCTTAGGCTGCTCAAAGGGTCTCCCCAATGTTCAAATGTCCGTTGGCACCTCATTTTTGGTTGCGTTTCTGAGAAATTAGTTCATTTGTTGCCACGAGAGAGAGAAATAATGATGCATAAGGACCAGTTTTGACTTTAACTTTGCTTTATCCTTTTCAGTCTACTCATTCGCTCACTCATCCATGAATCTAGCTACCCACAGGACCATCCATCCATCCACCCACTATCCATCTCTCTACCTGTCCATTCATTTGTCCACCTCCCACCCATCCATCATTCATCCATTTATCCACCTATCCATCCATCCTCACTCCCAACTGTCCATTCGCCTATTTGTCCATTGACCCACCCATCCACCCACACCACTATCCACCTAGCTACCCACCTATCTATTCATCTACTCCTGTCTATCCACCCATCCACCCATCCATCCATTCATACCTCCATTCATCCATCCACACATTTTTCATTCCAGGATAACTCCAGCACCAGCCACTATACACTCTTTTCTGGAAATACCTGCATGTTAGATCTAGATATGCCCAGTTAGTGATGTTGTGGGTGAAGATAGGAATGACTAATAGTCATTCACACCTGTCGCACCTTGGGAAAAGGTATTTGAGATAATATTCAGGTAAGACAGAAGCTAGTTATGCCCTAATTTAAATATTTTGCAATTTAGGCACACTGATGTGGTTAGTGTCTCGTTTCCTTCCCCTTCCCTCCCCTGCTTTCTCTTTGTAAATGACATGAAGTAATTTGTTGAAAAGAACAAGTTCTGTTTCAGGAGTGTGTTTTTCCTTTGGAACAACACAAAGTACCTGTTTAAAGAAAAAGTCATCCAGTAGTTTTGTTCTCATAAAAGTTTAATAGAAGCCAACTAAAGTTTAAGATCTCCCAGAGGACAAATAAAGATATTTCTC